GCGGCATGGCGGCGGCGGGAGGAGGAGGAGGAGGAGGAGGAGCGGGGACCGCGCCGCAGGGGCTGCGCGGGTGGTTGCGGAGCGCTTACCGCTTCGCCACCGATCGGAACGATTTTCGCAGGTGGGTACTGCGTGGGAGGGCGGGAGGAGCGGGAGGAGCGGGAGGAGCGGGAGCCAGCGCTGCTCGTTTTTCTCTCTCAGGAACCTGCTGGTGAACCTGGGGCTTTTCGCCGCTGGAGTCTGGGTCGCCCGGAATCTGACGGACATCGACCTGATGGCCCCGCAGCCCGTCCCGTAGCGGCGGTGAGTCCTCGGGGAGCGAGCGGGGGCGGGGGCGGGGGTGTCCCGGGAGGCCGCAGGGACAAGGGGCCGCCGGCCGACCGGGCGCTGCTGCGCTTCTGTCTAAAACTTGTCTGTGGCTACCGGTGACCCAACGCTGGCGACCACGGGCGTGTGCCCGTGCTGGCAGAACCCCCCCCAAAGCGTGTCAGGCCCCCCTCCCGCCCCGGGAAGGGGGTGTCACCGTGCGAGGTGACCAAATTAACGAGCTACACGAAGGACTAAACCATGAGCACTCGCTGGCACCAGGAGGACTAAAGCGATCTAATTTATACAGAAAGTTGCAAAGCTGTGTTAAATTGCCATATGCCAGCAGACTAGGCTAGAAACAACCTTGTCTAACTCTGCTTAATTGCTGGCCTAGGAAAGAAATAGAACCGCAAGGGAGAAGAGCTCGCCCCACACACACACGAGGACCAGAAGAGATGCGTTTAGCCACACCGTTATGAGTCTCCATACGTTCGCGCGAGTACGTTCTGCTCTCCTTCTCTGCAGAGCTGCTACTCACACTTCAAAGCTGTCGTGCTTGAAGCAGTGACTGGGGGGGAAGTTTTAAGTGTGAGAGGGAGAATTTATTTTCAATTTGTTCTGCAAGGCACAATGAGAGTAGTTTTCTCAAGGATGTGAAGTCATTGTGCGTGGAATTTTCTTCTGTACCCCCATCTCGATGTTTATTAAAGTATGTAGAATAATGACATAACCCACTGGAATTTCATTTTTTTAATAAGAAACTTCAGCTTACAAAAACAAGGTGTAAAAAGAGTAAAGATTTACAAAAAATCATAAAAACATGATTTATATTTCACACCCAAAAGACAAAGGAACAAGTCCAGTCCTGGGTTGTAAGCAGGACCCATCAGCTACTTATTCAAAGGAAAAAACAAAACTGTGACAAGCCCTAGGTAAACTCTAACCACCAGAAGGTTTCCTGGGTAATGTCCAGATGGGATAAAGCTGGGACACTTACTGTAAAGGAATGATGACTGTGTGTGGGAAGAAGCCGCCATTTGGTGTTGCATAGCATTTTAGTGCCCTGGACTGAGACCACAGCTTGCCGTTACCAACTTTAAAGTCCAGCTGTGGGTGGCGAGGCTGGTCGGGGGACAGTGAAAGCACCATGCGAGGCTGACGTGGGAGCTGTGGGTCGGATTTACTCTGATGTGTTACACGACAGCTCCTCCAAGATGCTATTTGTAGAGCAGAATAACTTCCCAGCCCTGAGCATTACGGCAGTAGGACTGCAACATGGCTTCAGATTCTTTGGACAGTTACGCACGGGTTTTTAGTTTAAGACATTCTTCTGAAGTAGCGCTGCCTCCATGTTTTGTGATGGAGAACTGCCCCCTTACTTGCCCCAGAGAGAAACTCGCTCCACTACCGATACAGATTCTTAAAAATGCTGTTTTCAAAGCGGGTATTTTAACATCCTGTAAAGAAATTAAGTTCTTTTGAAGTATGGATAATCCAAGCTATGCAGAAACAGTTTCTGCAGGAAAAGGGGATTAATTTGAACATTAAGTCATTTTATAGTTAATCTTAGTTTTGATTTAGAACACACTAATCTCCCGAGGCCTGGGTTCAGGCAGGGGGCAGTTCATGCAGTTAAGTACATAAGGCTGCCATAGGTGACTTATTGGATGTTGTCTTAATAAACCTCGATTAAAATAAAAGCTGCTGAACCTGCGATTAGGAGCAGCACGCTTGCACCAAGCTGCAAGACAGCTGGACAGACTGCCAGAAACATTCAGTAATTAATTGGATTCTCTTGTCACTTGCTGCTGCCTGGGAGTGTCCTTGAAGCAAAGGCAGTCTCATTCATGAGCACAGCATGGCATACATCAGCTTAAGTCATTAGTGACGTTAAGTACCAGAAACTCGAAGCAGAAACTAGAGGCTCCTCTGACTTAAAGTCCCCACAGAAACCACTGAAAAATCAGGAAACCCACCCAAGCTCCAGCCTGGCTCCTCACCCAAGAAAGCGGTGCAGCATTTCGCTCCTGTCTTCGCAAGGGCTGCCAGGGAATTTCATACCGAGGGAAAACTTGCTTGTCTTCTATCTATCCTCTGCCAACAGCACCCTTCCAGCAACCTTAACTTGGAGCAGGATTAACTTTTTTAAAGTGCTGAAGATTAGCTTTAATTCTGCCCTTACTCAAGTCAAGAGTGAAGCTTCCAGGGCATTAGCAGAAGCGGGGTCTCCCCAGCAGCGTCCTGCCCAAGCCCATCACACCTTAAGGGAGCTTGCCCAGGCAGCACTCCTCTCGGAGAAGCTGTTTGAAGTTTCTAAGCTGTGTTTAATTTTCTTTTATGGAAAGGCAGACCTGTAAAAAAAAGTTTTACTGGAAACAAACTTAACCACTTCTTCCTTCCCTGTAAACTGCTCATTAGATGTATAGAAGGCTGTGGCTTGAAGAATTTGTGACTGCTTAACCAAAGCTGAAGTTAAGCAGGGAAAAAAATAGGACCTCATTCTCTTTCACAGGGGCTCCAGGTTGCCAGTGGTAAGTTACTGTACTTTACACATCTGATAACCTAGGTGAAATGTTGGGTTTCACATGGAAATATGTGGTTCATCTTGTAGCAGTAGGAAATAGCCTTAAGGGCCAGGCCTAGCAATGTCATTTAATAAATGTAAGGACAGTGAAGATGACACTTGCTATGAAAATGCCATTCCTAAATCAGAGGTGTGGAGTTAGGCAGCCCCAACACTACACTAACTGTGCAAGAGAGAAGGAGCCTCACGGGTGGTTATCCTAATTTCTCAGCTACCGATTCCGTTCAGTGGTGCACCACAAGCCTGTGGTGACATTATTCACGTGCATAGCTCTAGCCTGCCCATGGTATCATACATTCTTTAACCTTGCCTAGCCACCAACGTGGCACAGATTTGTACTAACACAGTTGTAGCAGTATAAATTATCCCCATGGTACAGATATGGTTATCTAAGGAAATAAGGCTAGCCTAAGTACTTTACACTTAACCCTGCCCACACTGAAGGGATGTGGTTGTTCCTCTTTAGCAGGAGCAACATCCAGAAGCCCCACGCTCCCCAAAAGACATGCTCACACAGAAAGTGGCTGTAAAAGCAGGAACAGAAACAAGAGAAGGCCTTTACTACTCCAGACTCCACCAAGCCCTAGTGTGACAAGCCAGGGTGCAGCACTTCAGCATGGAAAAAAAATCAAATTCAGCACCTGCCACCTCTATAGGAAGTATGTTACAAAGACTTAAAAGTTACAAATTGGATAAAGTCATCAACTGTATCATCTCCTTTCTCAGTTCCAGTTATGCAAAGCATTTACAGTGACACTGTGGGCTTTAAGTAGGTAGCTCCTTTATAAAACTTGAGAATTTGGGGTACTGTTCCTTAGGAACTGTAGTATCTAATGGAAAAGCACCATTCATTTTGCCAGTATGAGGCTACTGATAGAGAAAGTTTTCGCCACAAAAACAATATGAGGTTGCTGCTAACGAGACTGCGTTTGGATTTTATTAATGTCTCTGCCTGCAGAACATGCAATCCTCTAACATACGAGGTCCCCTTATCAGACGCTTCCTGTCTCTAGAATTCTAAACTTAGATCACAGCTTATTGCTGTGGTTGGCTTGGCTTGCTTTTTACTGGTTGTTTCATTCATCCCAACTCCTTCCCTACCCTCAGCCTGCACAAAATCAGTAGTGCAGCAGTTCAACAAGAACCCTAAGGGTACAGCACTTTCCTCTAACTGCAATGCATTCTGTATCATGCACAAGCTTCAGAACAATAAATAGTTAATAGTGGTTAAAGTCAATCCTGGGCCCCTTTTTTTTTCTCCCCTACCCCCTCAATTCCCCTTTTGGAAATGTACATTGCAAAGCTCATTTGTAAGACTTAAGAACTCTTCTGAAAGAATTTTGGCCCACCATCCTTTAAACAAGTGGAACCCATACACACACGCACAAAATAAAAATCAGTACAACAGAAGGAGTGGCCTAAAGGCATACCCCCTCAAATCAGCTAAGACAAATAATCACTAGTTGGTACAGGTAACTAATATATGTAGCTTTTATCATTTAAACGTCTGGTTTTATAAATTTAGAAGCTTGCTAGAATGCTTCACATTCCCATCTGCAATAAACAGGTATCAATATTAATGTAATAGACACCAAAAAACCCACTGAATTGAGGTTTTATATTCCCACAGGCAATAAATTCTCAACGTAAGTCTGCCCTATCTGATCTCAAACCCGCTGAAGGGATTAGACGCACACAAAAAGGCAGTGTTCAGAGCTGGTGCTTGGATTTTACTATTTACTTTGAAGAAGGGACACTTGGCCACCCTACACAACTGCATCTATTGCATATTAAATTTCCGCAGGCATGCTTTTGCTCACGTGTGGAAGTATTTGCTAGGCTGCTAAGGAGACCTGTGCAAACACTGCCATGACAAGGGGAACTGTATTTTTTTCTTTTCTAAACCAGCAGTTAGCATTAGATTTGTAACAGAAGGTGCTTCCCAAAGCTACTGCTACTCTAGCAAAAACCCCACTGGAGTTTTTATTCCTTGCTCTATGCTACATGCTCTGACAGACGTCAACTTACTGACCTGACTGGAGGGGTCTGGATGACATAAGAAAATCTAAAAAGCCAAATCTAATCTGCCTTTGAACAAGATGTTATTTGATTTATTACAAATACAGAGATTTCAAACGTGTAACACTAAAATACTAGCCTCTGAGCTTGCTGGTAAACTTCATTCACATACAGATAGGAAATGTAAAAATGTCAGCGATACTGAGTACTTGTAAAAACACACGAATCTGTCTGCTGCTTCAGTCAGGAGGGGGGAATTCACGACTTATTTCCCAACGTTTCTGTCCCATGCAAAACATTATTGGATACAAGGCACCAAATCTAAGGAATCATACAAAATTACTTCACACAACTGTATTGGCAGGTAAAACTTATCTCCCTGTCTCTTCCTCATGTGGTTCTCATTCTGCAACACCACTGACTTCCGCTGCAGCTCATCCCAGGGTAATCTGGCAACAGCCAGAAGTTTCATTAGTCTCTCTCACTGGGATGCAATTAAGCATATTCAGGCCTGGGGACATTACAATCAATAAAAGTGTTTCTAAATTACCACCGAGACAGTATTTATGCTAGAAGCCTTGCCTTCTAAAACAAAAAAACCCCACCCTGATAGCAAGTCCATAGGACACACTTAATGCTTTTACCATTTCCGATTTCATCCCTACACTCAAAAAAATGTCTGGAAGTCCCTAAGTAAGTGGGGGTGGTACTGCCACCCAGAAAAGTCTGATGTCAAGCATTTAATATGCATTATTCCATTTGCTGCCTCACATTAACAGCTTTCAAAGCCAGACCAGAGAATTGTTCTGGTCAGAACTAACGGAGAAAAAAATTGTTTTTTTCAGTGCTTTGCAGAGAAACTGTTTTTGCAGTATGCATAGTTTAACTGGGGAATACAGGCAGTAAAGGGATAACAAAGGCAAATTTATGTAACTAACTTGCTAGCGGAATAAGGTTAGCTAAAATAAAGTGGTTTCCAACAACTACAGCAGATGCTGTATCATACCTGGCCATGAATACATTAAGATTATTCATTCTTAAGAACATAAAATTAAGGAACGCCAATTTACTTACAAGTTGAATGGAATAAGGATATGCTGG